TCCACTTTTTGAAACCCGGGGGCCCCCGCCCCCCCGGGGGAAAATTTTGGGTTTTTTTTTTTTAAAGTTCCAAAAAAAAAAAAACCCTTCCCCTCCCCCCGGGGCGGCTCCCCCCCAAAACCCCCCCCCCCCCCCCCCCCCGGGGTTTTTTTTCAGGTTTAAAGGGGGGGAAAAAAGGGATTTTTTTAGGCCCCCGGGGTTCCCTTTAGGGGCCCCCCCAGGAAAGGGTACGGCCCCCCCCCCCCCCCCCCCCATGGTTTGTTCCATTCTACTACTTCGTAGAGATGGAACCTACTCCGGTCTTTTCATCCCTAGGGTTCAACCCGCCCGGAAACGCGAGGCATTGAAGTTTAGTACAGGTCCTCTTGTGGTTACCGTACTCGACGCAGACGCGAGCAACACAGCTCTACAGCTCTAGCACCCGTCAGTATCTACACTTGCACGAGTGATGGCAGATGTGGTCGGGTCATTGACCGCGAATGGGCGTCCGTTAGCATGGTTGTACAATACACCAGCAGGCAGCAAGCAGCATTCGTCACTGAAGAAATCTCGAATCTGACAAACCTTTTTTGCTGGAAAATTCTCAACAACTGTAGTACTTATGATACCACCACCCCGAGACATCGCTAAAAGAGGATTTTGTCATCTGTTGAGGTTCCTGCGACCAGGCGCAGCGAGTCGCCTCGCGTAGTCGTGCGTGTTATATGCTGCTGTAGCCGCACTGCGTGGATTGAACGGGTGCGCGGCAATTGATGAGAACGGCATGAACCAGAGTCAAGAGAGAACTCTCGCGTTCCCACAAGTTTCTTCCTGTTCGTGACGTTTTTAAAAATGGGAGAGCAACAGGATGGTGTCCGTTGTTTGGATTTCAAGGACGTCGATAAGGGTCGTGGTGGTGGTGGTTGTGAACGGTATTGCACGCGCGAAAGCGGTTCGTTTTGAAGCAACATCTTGGCAGTACGACTGCTTGATTGCAGCAAGCACGCCTTTGGATACACTGCTGTTGCCGCTTGGCCTTTTGCCACACTTCTCTTTCACAGAAAAATAACTTCGAAGGGAGACGCGTCCAGGAAAACATGCCTTCAAGTACTAATTCTGACGTCCTTAAGAATTGCCACAGGCACACCCACTTGTATGACGAAAACGTATACCTATTCCTTAACTTGAACGCTTCTCTCTGCTCGCTGTCTTTTTTTTCTGATTATTTAGGTTGTGGCGATCTGGTTCCACGCAAGCTGGTGTCGGAAATGCAAGTACATCGGTACAAGATTGAAACGCCTGGATGAGCACCTCCCGGCGTACTTGACGAACAACCTTGTGGTGAGCGAGAGATAGAGTGGGGGGGGGGGGGGGGGGATCAGAGGGAGGGAACCAAGGTGGGGAGAGAGAACGACAGATGTGATGTAGGCAGGGGTCGGGGCAAGCAATATCATACTGAAATACTGCTGTAGTGTTTGATTTGTGCTATCGGGCACCACAGCCATCTCTTGTACTCTTCCTTCCGGTGTGCTCACCCTTTTTTCGTTCCTGGCGACTCCCCAAGCTCCTGATGTATTGACTGCTGCTTCAAGTAGGTAATCTCCTTTCGTCGTCTGCACTCTCCCGCTCTCCTTTGTACCTGCCTTTTCTAGGTGGTGAGCGTCGACGTCAACCAAGTGGCACAGGTCCCGCAGCGACAAAAGATCAAGGACCTCCCGACGATCCAGTTCTTCGTGGACGGAGGCGTGGTCGGGTCGTACGTAGCCAACGACAGGGGGGAGGCGTTCTACGCGAACATGGAGAAGCACTTGCGTGCGGCCCTCGGAGAAGACGTGGAGTAGTGTGCAGCGCAGAGCGCACTCGTTTATGGCCCCCTTCCTCCTTTAGACCACACCTTCTTGAAACCTCCTTCCTTTTGGTTGCTCAAGAGAGGCAGACGAAGCAGGCGTTTTGTTCGTCACGGGGAAGGAGAGAGGGGGGGTGTTGTTTGATTTGATGGGGTTTTGTAGGATGTCCGCGACTCTAAAAAATGTTGACGTCGGAAGACTAGCCGGCTCCTTGCACCATTGTTTCAGCGCAAGAGAGGACGGGGGGGATTTCCCGGCCAACAATCGTCTGTGAGCATACTTGCACGGCAGTGTGCGTTGGTGATGAACACAGGACGCAACGCGAGTGTCGCAAGCTGTGTTTGTAAAGTTTTTGTTTTCATGTGAGAAGGGAGGAAGGGGATGGTGTTTTTGAGTTACGTTTTCATTTTAGTCTAGGTTTCAAAAATAGTTTGATATTTGTTGACCCTAGGAAATACGCGGTATCTCAAGAGTGCATCGCACCCCCCAAGTATGTTGTACGCCATGGAAGTGTTGTTCGAAGCGTAATCACTGAGACGACTTGTGTTCCCAAGCACGTGTGGTAGCACTCAAGAGCAGCAAAACCTGCACGTGATTTCGCCCCGGTATTTCGATATTCTCGCACGCATATGGTGCTGTGCTTGCCACCAGCCTTTGTGGTTGCTGAACAGCACGTATGCTGGCGATGCCCGTGTAATGCATCGCTGTTGCACCTTCTTTTTTTTGCTCAGGAGGGCGTGGCATTCCGAGATTTCGAAAACAGGTTTTTGGGAATTGTATCTTGTTTTTGTCGTTTCCCACCCTGCCGGGACGATTGTGTTGTGCCTAAGACATGACGTGGCCTTGGTGTATCTCGTTTTGCAAGTTGCCTCTCGGCGGCTAGAATTTGGCGTGTGGCTCTGTTGGGGACTCGGGAGATTAGAGAGTGTCGTGGAAACACATGAGAGACTAGAAATTTATGCGGAGAGACCATTGTCCATTTCGTTGGGGTTTTTTTAGTACTTTCTGCAGGCGGGAGTTGTGGTCGTTGGACGGAGCCTCCCTCTTGTTGCTACTATCGTGAGTCGATGCTGTCATTTTCTGTCAACTTACTTGAGTAGTTTTTATTTTTTGGAGAAAAATGATTCGGTGCCATTGTTAGACGCCGAATAGCTACTATGCACAAGGAAATATTCAATCCACTACATACATGAACAAATTAGATTTTTCATCTATTTTTTCAAGCCTCGAGTGGGCATGGCTCACAAAATGTCTTGTCGAGTTGTGCCGGGATGGCTCTTCTACTACAGTAGTGCGCGTTGCACTCATGATCGCCCCCGTCGTCTAGTCTACAGTCCTTGTTCCCTGTCGTTGTCAGCGTGAGGGGCAAGTGGTCTGACTCTGATTATTGACAAAACCCTGCGTTTTTGGCGAAAATACAACTTTGAAGGAAGACGTCGACGGGGGAATGGACTTCTGGGCCTTTCACGACCTGATGAAAACCTAAGCACCGCAGGAAGGAGCTCTCAGTATGCCCCCGGCTGATGCGCGTAACAGCGCAGAACGGACGGTGTGGTCGAAGCATTCCTTAGAATAGGCAAGAAAAAATGACAGGTTGCCGTGCCTTCTGCTCACTCGAAGACTTGAAGCGCTTGTGCATTACTCGTGGGACAACAACAGTTAAGCCGCGATGTGGCGCCGTGAGCCTAGAATTCTTGCTCTCATGGGCGTGCGCATGTGTTTTGTTTCCTCTGGTTCGTTCGGCAGACACCAGAACATGCAAGGTAATAGTAAAAAGTAGTGTTGCGCACATCGCTCCTGGAGATCAGCCTTCTTTCTGTCTACAATGTACCTCCCAACACAAAAAAATAAAACGTCTGCCAAGCATGCTTTGGCTGTCGTGCCAACGGGCCGTTGGTACTGCTGTAGCTCCACGGACTCATGCAAAGTTTGGTGACGAATAAGAACGAAACAATTGGGCTTCCATGTAGTGATTGTTTTCGCTATTATTCTGAAGCCCCCTTTTACGACGGGGGCTTTTCAGCTTTTCTGTTGTGGCTGGTTGTGGCTGTCGAATCCCCACCCTACCACGTTATTATTGTTCGGTTATCCTCACGGGGGCGGATGGACAAAATGTGATCATGGTCTTTTCGTCTTTTCCACAGCCGTGTAGGCTGACAAAGGCCAAAACCCAGCACTTGTTTGCGAACCGCTTGCCGCCTCGTTACTCTCAACGTCTGAGGAGATAAGACGGGGTTTAGATTTGGGCGTGACTACCCCCGGCATCTACCCAAGATACACCAAAGTGCACAAGCAATATTTCATTGGTAGCGGTTACCGTAATCGATGCTCATCATTGGTATTGACTACAAAGACACACACGAACAAACACGCATGCCTTGCTGTTTAGCCGAACGGCTGTCCACGGATGGTTTTCGCTGTCTCCTTTCCAGTGATTCTGCAATAATACTCGAAATACATCATGTAGGGAAGCACCAAATCACTCCCATTTGCCGGGCAGTCGCGGCGTCCTAACCTTGAGCTTGAAACAAGCCACACGGACAACTAACTGCCGGAGAACAACATTATTACTCGGGGGAACGAACGTGGATGCCCCCACCCCCACAACCCCGCCTACATTTTCTTGATCCAACATTATAATACCACCTTTAAACAACGGGGACGTTCTGCCTACATCCATTCTCGAGTTTCTCTCTCTCCTTTGTCGCCAACTGACGAGTTGGCCAATATCCACCTTTCATTGGTCAACAGTCACGGGTTTTCGACACGCACGTCCCTCGCTAAGATGCACGGGCACACTCAACAACCGCTAGGAGCCACTCCAGCAGTACCGCTGCGGCGGCGTTTGCCGATCTGACCTTTCGCGGCGCCGCTTCTGGAACACCTAGCCGTTTTGCCAGGGCGGAGAGCCGTCGGCTGGGTATCCGCCGCGGGGAGATCGACCCCAGAATGTCCCTGAGGAGGTAGGCATCGCTGAAGAGTGAACGTGGAGGACGGTGGTGATGTCGGTGCTTACCGTCGCGACTGTTCTTTGTCGGGGGGTTGTTGGACCGCTTCCACCCCAGAAGACAGGCGAGGCCCCCAAGGACTGCAAGGACAGGCTTGGGCGGGTTGCGAAGGTGGTTGAGCTCGATCAAGGCGCCCACCGTAAGCCTCCGGAAGCACGCTTGCATCTTCATCTCCTGGGCTGAGGGGGCCATGGCTAGGTCAATGGTGCCAGCAATACTAGCAACAGACGCACCAGCAGCCGCCGCTGGAGCACGCGCAAAAAACTCGTTGTGCTCTCTAGTGGGTTCTCGTTTACCTCTCGAGAGACTGGGTGGCGTGGTGGGCCGTCTTTCCGGTTGAAGCGGGCTCGATCCTGGTAGTTCTTGCCTCTGGTCGGATGCCGTTGGTGCATGGTACCCAAAGACCGGGTCGTGAAGAGTCAGGATCCTAAGAGCAGGGGCGGCCCTGCTTGTCGGACTCCCGGGAGTCGAATCGTTGCATCCGAAGAAGGGAGTACGGTTGTCCCAGGGCTCGATTTCGTGCTGTTGCCTTCCCATCCTCCCGCTTCGCCACTCCCGGGAACTCGAACCACGAATCCGTGATCCTGCCGGAATGGCAGTGTTCACCGTCGACTCCTCCGCCACTGGCTGCCCACGAGGGCTTTGCAGTTCTGGTACCGGGGCCACTTGACTCATAGCTCTGTTCAGTCGATACTCTCGCAGTTGTTTCTGGACCGCTTTGATGGCGACGGCCGTCTTAAGGGCAGTGACGGTCGGGAATTCGCTTCCTCGTTGGGCACCGGCTAGATTGGCTAGCTTCTCCACCAAACGCGCCTCGTCCCCCCCGTCCTCGGCCTCATCATCCTTCCTGGTCTTACGAGTCTTCTTCCTCCCTGCCGCCATAAAACCTCGCCCCCCCCTCAATGTAGTTGTTGGCGCTGTTGCTGGACGCACACGAGTATGATGAACTACTGCTGTGTTTGCGCCACGGTCGAATACTGATTGCCTCGGCCTGAAAAGGAGTGCGGAAGACGCCGAACCCCCTCTCTTTTTTCGATGCCCGGCCTGTTTCGCAACACAACCGCCACCTCCTGCTGGTGTTCCCCACCCAATGTTGCTATTATTACTGATTTTTGAACGGCCACCCGCGGCGGAACCCGCAGTAGCTGGCCTATCGTTAACGATGCTGCTTTCCCTCTTTGCAGTAGTTGTTGCGCAGCTTCGATTTGGGGTGGCCGCGGCGGAGCAGGGTCGAACCCGACGCCCAGGGGAAATCACCCGCTGCGCGAATGGCGAAGCCTCCAGCGACAACACGTGGGCTTCAACGTACGCTGGCACTTTGCCAGCGGGGCCGTAGCCTGGTTGGAACTTCGTCATGTTTTTTTCCTTGTGTCTTTGGGCCGCTCGCCTGTGCAATTCGTCTGATCTGTCCTGCCTCTCCTTTTCCCAGGCCTCCAGCTCCGACAAGGATATTTTTTTCAGCTTGGCCTGTTTTTGGGCGCATGTCGAAAACATGATATATATTTCTAGGTGGGTGTGTATAGACGTGCGACAAACGAGCCAGTAGTAGGCTTCACGGTTCTGAGTAAGTGTGCTCGTTCCTTTTTATTGGTCAGCCTGTTTCGCGCGGCCGATGAATCAAACAACCAGCACGCGGCGGAAGTTGGTGTTGGTTTTGTTGTCCTTCTCATTGGTCAGCCAACTTCACGCGCGGCCGATCCAATCAAACAACCAGACAACCAGAACAACAAGCACACGGTGGAAAGTAAATTGTTGGGAAAAAAATATCGACGGTTACTTTTTTCAGGGGCTCCGTGAATGGAAACGGGGCGTGTACCATGGATCCAGCGCACTCTGCGTGGTATTTGTTCCTCAACCAACCACAGCAACCAACTCTCCTGACCTGCTGTAGTACTGCCTCGCTGCTCTTCGCCTCGCGGAAGAGGGCGACAACACCGAGGTTAAACGACGGGTCTCGTGCACGGGTCGAGACCCACTTCACCATGAGCTCACGGAAGAGGATGAGCATCGGGAGCTTTAATCTGGCTAAGTCTAGCCCCACGGAAGCCGTTAAGAGTAATAAAGCCACCAAACGGCGCTCCTCGATCTCGTCGTGGGCGGTGGGTATTTCGGGGGCGTTGAACCGATCGCTTCAGTCAGCCGCGGCCACGGCTGATAGGTTCGAGAGGAGGCTCTTCGCAGAGTATGACGAGCAGATGGATGAGGACGGCAGCGACGCGTATGGGATGCTGTGCGCGCAGCGGGGACAAGGGCAGCGGGCGGAGTTTGAAAACCGGTGAGGAATGAACTGTCAACAGCCTTGATGCTCAAGTGAAGAAAACTACTTACACGCGACTTGACCTCGCACGGATGCCGAAACCAATGTCTGCGGCTGGCGTGGCATGCCCTGGTAGCATACACAAGCTGGGCGCCTAACTTGGGCATACACGGGCTCGGTAGTCAGGCTCCGTTCAGCTCGTAGCTGCGCCGCTTATGTTCCATTGGAGGAGATTTGGCTCGTTCGTCTTTCGACGCAAAGAGCCGCACCGCCTGCATGACAGCTACATGTACATAGAAGCATGAACCCATGTGTGCCCACGACGGATTACGGTGTGTGCACAACTGTTAGGGTGTATGATCGCTAGAGAATCGCTTCGTTTATTTCATAGATATAGGCGAGGCAAAACCGTCAAGACACGTGTGCATGTTTGAAGCGTCGGAAAAACCAAAACGGAAACGCACGTGAGAGGAGAGAGGAGGGATGTTGCCCACATTACATACATACTTGTACATGAACGGCAAAAGTGGCCACTGGCCTAACTGCTGTAGTGACGAAAACAAGCACCAAACGAACCCCCCACACCCACCCCCCCAAACTGCCAACTGCCTGGACCGATATTCACCAGGTACAAGCACCTCGTGGAGACGCTGGGCGACCTTAGCCTGGCGGCCGATATTGACCCCGAGGCGGCAGCCACCCTCCTCGACGACAGCCGTGCCACGGAAGACCTCGACAACATGCTCGCGCTGCTGAGGGCAGAGGAGCGGCAGAACTCGCGTGCGGAACAGTCTCGAGGCAGCGGCGGCGGGCCCTCCGACGGTAAAGGCGGCAGTGCCGAAGGCAGCGGCGGTGGCGATCTGCTGGCAACTCCGTGCCTCGAGTTCTTGCTGGAGGAACGGGTCGTCAAGCTGCTCTGCGAGCTGGGCGCCGCGGACAGACCGGCGGGGACCCTGGCTCTCGTCCTCGGGGCGATCGCCTCCCTGCTGGGCCAGGTGAGTCACCCGTTACTGCCGTCGCAGGCGGTCCACGGCCCCATCGGCAACCTGGTCGCGGCCGCCGGAGCGCACGGACAGAGGTTGGAAGGGGCCGGGGGAAGCAGCAGGGCGGGGAAGGGTCGACCGCAGCTGGGCAGCGGCCAGCGTCGAATGCTGAGCAGCAGCATCAGTAGAAGCCGCGCCTCCTCCTCCGGCGTTGCGCAGGGGAGGGCGCGGGCGCGAGTCCAGGCGAACCTCGCGCGCCTTCTCGGAGCGATATGGCGAAAGCTGAGAGAAGAGAGCGCGTTGCTCGATTTCTTCCTACGCGCGGACGATACCCCAGACCCGCGAAGCGATGGAACGACGGCGACGGGGGGGGGGGGCGCTCTGCGGCTAGACGTGTTCGACAAGCTCCTGCCGCTGCTGGAGCTACCAGGGAGGGCGGGCCAGCAGGCTCGGGAGGCCTGTCTGGTGGCGCTGAGTGTCAAGGACCCGCGAGTCGGCCGGTACATCGCCGGCAGCACGCAGCTTTGCGCGCAGCTCGCGCAGACCCTCACTTCCCGGTACCTGGCGCTCTACGACACCCTGGAGGAGCTCCAGGTGGCGGCGGAGCTACCCACGGGGAAGGAGGAGGGCGGGGCGGGGGGAGTCGCGGGGATATTGACGCAGCAGCAGCCCGAGCGGGCGGAGGCGACGTTCACCGAGGCGCTGTCGCTGTTTCTTCAGCACCTGCGGTTCTGCAACGCGGTTGGGCTCGTTGCGGCGGACACGCGGGCGTGCTTGCGGCCTACTTTGGGGTCGAACGCCAGCAACAATTGCGGCGGCGGTTCTGCCGTCGGGTCCGCCGCTCCACAAGAAGGCAGTGACGTCATCACGGCGCGCGGGGAAACGGACGCAAATCGCGCCTCCGCGGAACCAGACGACGGAGTAGCGGCTTCGTTAGCTTCTCAGGTGCGGCACTTGCTCCTGAGCAACGCCATCGGCCCGGCGCTCACGAGCGCCCTCGAGACTCGAGCTAGGTGGACGACAACAATCGCGGCGCGAACGATGGCCGAGCTCTCGGCGGGAGCGGAAGGGTACGGCGTCGCGGTGGCCGGGCTTGCGGCTTCTGTCCAGGAGGGTGGCGGGGGCCGGCGGCCACTCGGGCCTCTCGTCGACACGGTTTCGACCTTCCTGGTCGGGCGAGAGTTGTCCGTGTTCAGCAGCGGCAGCAACAGCAGCAACAGCAGCAGCAGCGGTGGTAGCGTGCCGACATCCCCTTCCAGGAAAGGCTGTGCAGCGGCGGCGGCAGCGGCGGCGCCACCGACGAAATCGCGATCGCGAGCGGGGTCTCTGTCAGGCTCGAGCGGGTCGTCGATGGTGCTGATGACGAGCCGGTGCTCGGGGCCGATCGTGTGCTTGCGCGACGTGCTGCTGCGGCGGCTGGAGCCGTCCTCGCCGTCCCAGCTGCGCGTGTCCACGCTCGAGCTCCTGGGGTCGTTGGCAGAGCTTCGGGATGACTGCGTCCTCCTCGACCTCGTCTTATGCCCGGGGTCAGAGCCCCTGACACCGGCAGCAACAACAGGGGACCGACGGTATCCGCGGAGCGAGAAAGGAGGAGGTGGACAGAGGTGGAGCGTCGAGGCTCTTCTTGACGACGGGCAGGGCGCACTGGAGGGGCTCCGTGTTTCGCGCGCCATGGTGGACTCGTTCGGGTCTGCGTTTGGCGGGTCACCGATCCACCCCAACTTTCGCCTGTTCTCGGCGTCTTCGCACCTCAGCTTGGAAGGCTATCTCGTTGCGGCGCAACAGAGGCAGATCCACCAGCTAATGGAGGGTGCCCGAGGGGGGTGCTCGTCGGGGGAGGGGGAGAGGGGGGGCGGGGGGGCGGCAGCAGACGTCGATACGGACATGCTGGACATGGTTGTCGGCAGCGATGGAGGGAAGGTGCTGGAGGCGGTGGCGGCGGTGGCGGCAGCGGAGGAAGGGGAAGAGGGAGGGGCAGCGAGTAGAGGCTGCAGTCGCGGTGCCTCGGAAGGGGGGGAGTTTGGGGAGTTCGACGCCGCTGCCTTTGTGCGGGAGCACGGGGACACTCTGGCCAGCGCGGCCGATGCCGATGGCTCGTTCCTCCGCGCCCTCTTCGATTGCCTCGAGGTGCGTCGAGTGTGCGGCTGAAACGCACGGGGGCGAAGGCTACTGGGTTGTTTTGGGCGGCGCGACGCCTTGGGTGTGTTCTCTTGAATGGTTGCGCGATAAGACGTGTTGCCGAGTTCAGCAAAACCATTTTGAGGAGATGAAATGGGTGGCATGCGGTAGGTGTCTCATTCGGCGTGACGCGGCCGGACCTCCGTGTGCTTCTGGTCGGCCTAAATAGCAAGACAAGAAATCTACGTTCTCGTTGGCCGTGCGGCAAGGCTGGCCGTGTCTGTAACTGCTCTATTAGCGTTGCTCATTCATCCTAAGGGCGGGCCACATCATTCAGGTCACCAATCAGCGCCGAAATTACTGCCCCGTGGCTCCTCCTCCGCGGCACGACCATCAGCGGTCCTGTAGTTGGAGCCTCCCGAAGACAAGAAGTCTCCGGTATCACGCTGCTCGTATTTTTGCGCACCTTGTCCTTGAATATCTTTCTTCAGCATGCCGCTTTTACCTATGTACATGTACATTTGTACACACGCACATCTTCCCCGCTACAAACGGTGAACACTTCACACGTGCCGGTCCGTACTCACCCCCCCCCCCCAATGGGCAAACGACTACGGCATGCGCGACTATGAGTACCTCCCCCCCCCCC